TTTCTGGCAGAACCTCAGCCAAAGCTGAGTGATTTCTACAGTAGAGAGAGGCATGTTCCCCAGGGCCTGAACTCAAAGCCGCTCAGAGCTCTAGCCTGCCCAGAGGATGTGCTAGAGCAAAGCCCCAGACAAAGGTCTAACCAGCAAAGGTCTAACACTAAAGAATTTAGTTTGGGTTCAACTAGAAGAGGCTGTAGTCATGCCAAATAGTATAACTACATGGTTCATGTCTTGAAGTTAATTTATAATCCAGAAGATATTACTTAAATCTGGGGCTGCCCTAAAACGACCCCAATCTGGGAGGTTCAAACAGCAGAAGTTTATCTTTCATAGCTCTGGACAGCCAAGGCCTAGGGGTCACAGTGCTGGTTCCTTTGGTGGCTGAGATGTCTGCTCCAGGCCCCTGTCCCTAAGCCTGCAGGTGGCTGCCTAATCACCGAATCTTCTCATCACTCCCTCTAAGAGTGTGTCTCAGTGTCTAAGTCCCCCCTTTTATAAGGACACCAGTCACATGGCTTAGAGCCACCTTGATGACCTCATTGCAACTAAATTTCTTCTGCACAGACCCTGTCACCAAATATAGCCCCATCCTGAGGCCTGGGATTAGGGCTCTAGCCCACATTTTTATTTGGGAGAACAACCCTTACCCCAGAATTTTCCCAAGGGAAAGATGATATGAAAAGAAGGTCTCAGGGACCTCCTTTGGCTCTGGCTTCCGCCCCATCCTCAGTGGCTTGATCTTAAAAGGCCTGGCAATTCTGGCTGTAGCCCAGCCCTGGGAGGGCAGGTGCAGAGGCCAGCAAGCTCAAGGGACCATGCTCCTCTGTGCAATGTGCCCCACACAGAGAAGAACACAGCCCCATGTGACTGAGGGTCTCTAGCCGCTTGATTTCTGCCAGGACTGAACAGTAAAGTATTTTAAATCCTCAGAATACATTTTTCGGCTTCAGGAGGAGGTGAGTTCTTGGCCCAAGAGCTCCACAGACAGCTACTATTCAGCTTTGAGTCCCAAGAAGCTAATCTGACAGAGACTTATTATTCTCCTCGAATAATGGATGAGAAAGAACCCATTTTGTTGTCTTTAATAAGTTAGACACTCAGGCAGACAGACCCACACAATAAATCTGCATACGTGCGTAAGAGGGGCTGGGCACCAGGGACTTTTATTAACGTATCAATTCCAGAGGCCAAGTGAAAGCAAACCAGTGCCTCTGGGGAGCCTGGGCCTCTCCTAACCCTGCCTAACCCTGCTGTCAGCTGTGCCAGGAGGCCTCAAGAACAATGGATGTAATCTATCTCCCAGGGGTGGGGAGCAGCCCAGACAGCCTGAGCTCATGGGCTGACAAAAGGAACCTCAGACCCAGACCTCTGGGTGGAATCCTGAAAGCAAGCACGGGAGGGCTGGAAGCAGACTTCAGACTGGTGATTGGTGGGTTCAGAAGGCGTCCTCAGACAAAATGGGATATTGTTTTCAAAAGGACAGAACAGCAAGGTCGCGGTAAAGCCTATTTCCACATAGATAGTGCTGTGGGTGTTGTTTTTGCTTTGTTTTGTTTTCCTCTGATCTGTAGAAACGTGCATACAAAAGAAAGGGAAAGGGCAAGCCAAGTCAGGCCCTAGCGGGTCCAAGGATGAGCTACAAGCTGAACTGCTCCTGTATGCTTTATACACGCCTGGCTAAGACAGCCACAGAAACACCCTGTGGGGAGGGAAGACATCAAGGCTCTCTGCTGCGTCTGTCCCAGGCAGAGCACAGCATGCTTCTCTTGATTATATCATTTAATTTTAGCCCATTTAAAGAGATGTAAAGGACAGTCCACACTGGGACGAGTCACGCATGTAAAGAGGGTCACTTTCCCCACTCCAGGGCCAGCGTGGAGGCAGCAGGCACAGAGGAAGAAGGGGCTGTGCCCAGCCTCATGGGAATGAAGGTCCAGGAAGAAGAAGGAAGAGGCCCCTCCTGGTGTGCACATGGAGTAGAGGACGACAAGGGTGAAATGCCCTCTATCCCGGGAAGACGGGACATGAGAGATCAGGACTCAACAAGAGACCAAACCCAATTACCTGGTATGCACAAGGCACAGAGCCTTTCAGACTTCACCAGACTCACAGTAAGTCAGATTTGATGCGGAAACAGTCAACACACTGTACGAGGCTCAGAGAGCACTGTCTACTTACACACAGAATGTGCTCTGGGCTTACTGTTTGTTTTCTACAGCAGTTTCATGAGCTACTTACTGGGTCACAACTTTCAACTAGAAAACTTTGCCCAGGTGTCTGGACAGCATGTGAGGTTCCTGCCCAACATCAGTTGCAGTAAAGCCAGGAGGTCATGCCTGAATCAAGGGAGCAAGAGAGTAAAGCTCCACCGCTTCAGGGGAGGGGGTGAGCCCTCTCAGCCTCTGTTCACAGGTGAAGCCATCCATAAACTATGGACTCCACTCTCGCTCCTGGAGTCTGTGTAATGGGCACAGGGCCAAGCCAGGGAGCTCTGTAACACATTCTCCCAGGGCCACCTTATGGTATTCCTGCCTATTAAGGTACAAAGGTACTTTAACAAGCAGTCTCCATGGCAATCTGTGCTGACATTCCTTTAGTAGGTATCATCTGCAGCCTCCTGGAAGGCCAAGGTGAACACAGACCACCATGCTGGCCCAGACCTAACCAGGCAGGGCTGTATTCAACAGGTGGCAGCCAGAATGCAGTAATAAAAGTCTATGATGACTCAGCCCCACTGGTCCACTATCAGGAAGACATTCTAGAACATCCTGCAAGTTTCAGGGGACAGAGGAACTGACCCCATATCTGCCTGTGGCTCTGAGGAGTGATTCCAAACAAGGAAGCAGGCCCCCTGAGACTGCTGCCCTGGGACTCTAAGGAGGCCAGAACCTGCCCACTTAGAATGTTTGGTTTTGAAACAAACACAAAAAGAGTAATTCATAAATATTCAGAAAACTCCAGCCTCCCTGGTAGGCCCACACGAACACAAGTGTCAAGCCAGAAAGTGTGCACAAATGATCGGCAAACGGACAAAAACATCCTCTTACCAGCAGGCTTCACTCCATCCATGGAAGCCAAATCTTAGATCTCTACCCACACTTAGCAGTGGCCTGAGCTACACTCACTCTGTATACTCATCTTACCCACAACAGAGTGGTCATTCAAGGTAACCCACCTGCCCCAGGTTCAGTAGCCAAACAGCAAAGCTGATTGGCAGTCCCTAACCACTGAACAACACAGCCTGTGCTCAGAAAGCATTGGCTCACCTCAAAGATTGTTGGGTGAGTACCACACTGTGCTGCACATGGTGACATAAACCCAGTCTAGCTGCAGTGCAGTCCTAAGAGGCCTTTGCTGAGCTCCCATGCCCCACTGATGGGGTCCCCTACTGATGGAGCATCACACTGATGGAGAACACTGCCACACAGACAAGTGCTTTGCCAGCTGCCACGGAGAACAGTCTTCCACATATAACACCACCTTTGCAAGAAACAGGCTGGCTGGTTTACCTCTTCACCCAGACATTCCCATGGATGTGCAGAATTTAGGACCACAGAACTTCAGAACTTGACTGCCCAGCATATCCACTTTTCCCAGTTACAAAGCCTGAGCCTCCTTCCCCCAGCAAACGCAAGTGGGTACAGCCAGACCTGTGCTTCTAGAGGACATATCCTCTCTACATCTGAGCGAAAATGCCCTTTTACTGGGATGGCTTGGTTCACAGTGGACACAGGACACAAGTGTAGGGAAGAGAACTAACTGGCCAGGAAGAGAGGAGACACTCCGTCCGACATGGGTGTCTACAGAACCTTCTCCTCCACCATTCCCACTCCCCAGCTCCCAAGTGCAGCTCACCTCTGGTTGAACAGTGGCAAGGACTTCCCTGTCTGACTGAGATGATACCAAGTATGACTGTATAGTCATCATGACTCCTCCAAGAAAACATGGGAAGAATGGACAGTGTGGTCTGGAAGAGGATCCCATGCTGTATTTACAGTGGAATTATACCAGCAGCCCAGTATCCATCAACACATGCAAAGAAGTGTGCACTTCCACAGCCAAGTATTATCCATGCCTAAAAGGAGGTCAGTCACACACACACACACACACACACACACACACACACACACACACACACACACAATGGCAAGTGAACCCTAAAGATGCTTGTCAGCAAAACACACCTCAGTAAAGGACAGTGTGTCCACCCACACGAGGCTTGCTCAGTCAGACAGTTATGAAGGATGAGCAGAGTCCAAGGAGAGACCACAGTAATGGCAGCATAGCAGTGTGAATGTGACTCATGTCAGAAAACTGTGCACTTCAAGACAGATGAGATGGTCTGATGGTGTGTGTACTTTAGCACAACTTAAAAAATCATGTACATCTGTACATGCGTGCACACACACACACAGAAGCACGCCAGAGCCGGATGTGCCAGAGCCAGCCCAGCTCACATCCATATGCCTTAAATCTCCTCTTCCAGCTGTAATATGAGGTACCAACATTTCTAAGATGAATAGCTCCTTCCAGTCTCTTGGGGTGACCTAATTTCTGTTCACTCACAGCTTCTGAAATTACAGGTCTTCTGGAAGTGACACCAGAAGCCTCTCTGTCCATACTGTGAGGTATTCCTGTCCAGCCTGTGGCCTGCCCGGGTGTGTGTATTTAAGAGAAGTTAACACCTTTTGGTGACATGTGATCAGGGACAACAGAGGACCCCATGTGGATGTTATTTTTCCCCTTCAGCACTATCCTCTAGTAAAGTACAGGAGATCCCAGAAATGCAGGCTACACCAGGTGCTGTGAGGGCACACATGGCTGCAAGTCACCCCACTTTGTTATTCTGAATGACTTAGCACTGGGTAAACACGGGCTGTTCCTTAATAGTTAAGGAACAGGGTGAGAGGGCAGCAAGAAAGAGGATATGTAACCCTTGACAGAGAATGCAGAGTGAGAGAGAAGCAGAAACCGTGACACATTTGCAGAAAAGCCCTCACCTGGGAACAGGCCACTGCACGATGCCCAGGTGCACTGTCCCTCACTTCTAGATCTGATCCCAAATTTCTACAGGGATCGGAAGTGGTTTCCAAGGGGAAACCAGTCACCATGTTCTCATTATCTCTGGAAGGGCAGAGTCCAGTCACAGCTACCCAGGCACTCTGTCCAGAGGTGATGGCTGTGGACAGCATGGCAGAGCCAGGCATTGGCAGGGCAGAAATAAACACATGATCCTTGGCTGAACCTCCTGGCCACACTCTGTTTATTGATGGAATGTCATCTAAAGACTCCGGAACTGCCTACAATGTGAGCAAAGAATCCCCTAGACTGCCCTGTTCCTGGCCCCCACCACACAGCCCACAATCCTCCTAGAGGGATACACTGTTACCAGGCTAACACCCGAGAAGGACAGGAGGTCTGGAGGAATGGCCTGTTGGGATCTAAGGATGCTAGACTAATTTCTTTCTGGTCCCTTCCAGTATTTGACTGAGCTATAAGCCTGTGAATCCACAACAGTTATAGGTCTCCAGAGTTTAAAGAGAGTCATGCTGAGCAGATATTTCCACAATGGCTCAAAACAACCCAGTTCTCCAGAAACCTCAGTCATCTTCAGGTTACCGGAGCTCCACTTGATTCCCGTGGTCCCCCCAGGTTTGCTGTGGTGTTTGGAAAGGCAAACTCGTTTCCAACGTGCCTCCGCACCACAGGTGGAGGTGAGTGGGTGTCCCCAGGCCTGGGGACAATGGGCCATGGGCTCCATATACAGTGCCAAGATGCAGGCAAAGACCTGGAAGTCTGTGTCATGCTGTGCTGATTCAGCCCAGGACCTGGCTTCATCCTGGCTGGTGTGGCACAGAGGCTGGACAGGGACCCACATGGGGAGCATCTTACCTGAGAAACACATGGAAGGGAAAGAAGCTGGCCTCCACACTACCACCAGCACACCTCACATGTAAGAACTGACCTTGGAGCTCTCACTCAAATTTCCTCATTTCGATCATACCCAGAGACAGGGGTGGACAGACTCCTGTACCATGAGGGACATGCCTGCTGGGGATCCTGGGCAGTGAACACTGGCTGCACAACAAACGCTGGCACTGCTCCCACACACGGTGTTGCAGGAAGTAGACGGTAAGTGGTGAGTGACAAGCGGGTACATGTTCCCATTACATCATCACTAAAGAAAAACCAAGGAGGAAACGGTAGAACGGATTCATGAGGGACCAAAATGGGGTACAACTCTAAAACTAAGAACCTAGGAATGAGAACATCAGAAGGAAATTTCCATTTTCTTAACTCGGGCGAGCACACATCTCCACTTTTGTTAATGAAAGACAATAAAAGCTGAGGCACATAGTCTTGCTCCTTAGCCAAGCGCTGTTTTCTCTCCTCTTAGCTTCTCAGCGTGGGCTGATGACTGGGTAATAAATAACATAGTACTGGCCCATCCTGAGGGCCTGTGTGAGATGCTGAGCGTCTGTCCAGATCAGTCCTGAGGCTACAACAGGGGAAGGAAGAACCCATGAGGCGCAATCCCCATATACCCTCAAAGATTAGATTCTCCCATGGCCACCCAGCAGAGAGAACCCCTTGTAAGTACCTTTGGAGGTATTGAGACAAAGGCCAACAAGCCTGTGGCCCATGTGACAAGGGGCATCCCTGGGTAATGGGCCCTTCTCAGTGGGACATCTGCTGACAATCCTGAGAAGGAGCCTTTGCAGATTTTCCATGGAGCAGAACGAGCCCTGTCTATGTCAGACTCCCAAGAGACTCAGCACAAGACGACAATTAGGAGCCTCCCAGTATCCACTTGTCTCCAACAAGCTCTGCCTGACTCCCCCAGCAAAGCCTGGGGACTCCCAAGGGAAAGGTGGTTTAAAGCAAGCTGGGTAGGGAAGGATCTGTCTGCCTTTGGTTTGAAGATGTTCTAAGGAAGGCCTCCAAACCCCTCTCTTGATAGCTGACAGATGTGATGTGGATCACCACACCAATTCCTTCTTCAGGCCCTAGATCTCACTGTTATCAAGACCCAGCCCTGCCAAACCCCAAGGGTCTACACAGGAGGACAGCCGTGCCATGGCGGGGGGGGGGGGGTGTGCAGACCCAGTTCCACAAGCTTTTCCAGGGTCCTATCTCCTCTGGGACAGTGGTGACTACTTGGGAGCAGGGATATCCACAGGACTCTACTTGGATCAGTCAAGCCCTTGCAACTCTCTCCAGGCCTGGCTCCCCACTTCCCTGCTCTAGTGACCAGAGCTTCAGTCCCAGCACCCAAGGGCCCATCCTCCTCCTAGTATGAGTCCCTACCTTTCAAGTTTCTGAGTCTCCTGACCTGGTCTGCCATCTTGCTGCTCTCCCATGAACTCATCAGGTGGCTTGACCAGGGTCCACCAAACTCACTCTGAACACACAGAAGCCATTGCTGACACATCCATATCTACTTGAGTATGAATTCCAGAGTCCTCTGTGGGCATAGCTGTATAGAAGCACCCTCCTGCCTATCCCACTCTGCACAGGACTTCTCCATACAGAGAGGCATATGATTCATGCTGGCTGCCTTTCCAGTGAAACCCAAATGGCTCTGTGTCAACTCCTGTCTCCTGGGGCACCTCACCCAACAGTGGGGCTAAACAGCAGGCTTCTAGATCCTTCGCAACAAAGCATGGGCTCAGTGCATCTCTAGCTTAAATTACGGCATTGCAGCAACTCAGAAGCAGGTATTAAATGAGCGTTTCTAACTGCCAGGGTCGAGATATGCTGATCCCAGGGAAAGCAGGAGCAGCTCCATAACCCAAATGGCACTAGCAGGCACCAATGACAATACATACTGCATGGCATAAAAAAGGCATGTGCAAGGCATTAAGGTGCTATTCCCAGCAAGTGAACCACTGAGCCAGTGGAATTAGAGTTTATTGTGGGGTTGAGAGGGGCGGGGCTCTCAAATGTCTCCAGGAAGTTGATAGGTTTCTATGTACAAGTAATCCTCAGTCTATTATGGTAGTTTGAATGAAAATGGCCCCATAGGCTTATGTATTTGAATGGTTGGTTCCCAGTTGGTGGAACTGTTTGGGAAGGATTAGGAGGTGTGGCCTTGCTAGAAGAGGTGTGTCACTGGGGGTGGGTTTTGAGGTTTCAAAAGCTCAGGCTATTCCCAGCTGGCTTAGCCCCCTACCTTGCCTCTTCGTTGTTTCAACATGTAAGTTCCTAGCTACTGTTCTAATGCCATGCCTGCTGCCATGCTCCCTGCCATGATGGTCATGAACTCTATTCCCTCCTGGAACTGTGAGCCTCAAATTAAATGTTTTCTTTCATAAGTTGTATGGTCATGGTTCTATTCCTCTTCATAGGAATAGAAAAGTAACTAAGAGAACTATGGTGGGCTGAAGCCACTAGAAGGGACCTCAAGGATCATCTGCCCTAATTTCCCATTTAAAAGTAGGAACACAAGGCTCTGACCACATTCTGGGGTATAATCCCTGCTATTTCTCAGAATCCTTGGAATCTGCCCTCAAGTGGCTGCAGAAGAAACACCTACCTGCTGAGTCTTGGGCCAGGGACTGTCTGTGCCTCTTTAGACCCAAGGCTCTGACACCATTGATTTACACAATAGAGAACCTTCTGGTGTTGGGTATGTGGCCACTGCAGGACACTTGGACTCATGGCTTCTTTCTGAGAGCTCCATGTCTGTATTCTCTCTCCAGTAGTAAGCAGGCAACAGGACAGGAGAAATAGGCAACAGCCCCAGCAGATCCACACTCAGATTTTGGCTTTGATTCCTGGCAACATAATCTATTTTGAGCATGAGACGAATTTGCTAATTCCAAATGAGCCAGCTTAAAAGCAGACTACAAACGAACAGCAGGCACATTGTGACGCTGTGACAGCGCCCCGAATATCCCCATTTCCCGGGGACTTGAACAGGGGCACAGGACCAGAGGAAACACAACTGCTCCTCCTGGGCTGCAGACTTTAAGAAGGAAGGGGTCTGCTGGGCACCCCTCCTGATTAAAACATCTGAAACATGCCAGAGTGGGTAGTTGGGACCACGCAGAGCCACTAGTTATCCCTGGGCACTGCTCAGTCACCAGCCCACACATGAGGGACGGTGGTTCAGGAAGGCTGGGGATGCAGTAGAGAAAAGGGGCTTCTAGACAAGGGAGAGCTGGGGAAGGGAAAGACCTATAGGACAGCTGTTGAGTTCTATCCAGTCACAGCTCAGGCTTCTCTGACCCTAGAGGAAACACACCGCAAAGACTGAAGTCCCACTGGAATCCTTGTCTAATTCCTTTCTCTGCTAAGAGTTCCTTCTGCTCTTTTGGAAACAAACCCAGAAACCAGTGACCCCAACTCACCACAGAATTGAGTGGGGCTTTTAATTAACAGACACAGTGCGGCACTGGGCTCCACACCCTCACAGACTCACAGCCAAGCCCACTCCTGGTGTCTGGTGGAGCTCCCGGGAAGGCCCTGGAGCCCACTGAAAAAAGATCATTGTTAGAGCCTGTCACTTGAACATGGGAGTAATCCAGGCCCAGGTCACTGCCAGAGCCACGTGTACGATCTCCTGCATTCATGAGCTGAGAAGATGGCTCAGATGGTCAAGTTTGAGCCACAGCATCCATGGAAACCAATCAGGCTGGTGGTACACACTTACAGTGCTGGGGAAGTGGAGCTGGGTAATTCCAGGGACTTGCCAGCCAATCAGCCTAGCCCTAGCTTGACAAGCTCTAGGTCCCAGTGTGAGACCCTGTCTCAAAACACAACGTGGACGCTGTCCAGCTCCTCTGGTGTAGAGGGAACTACACTCTGGTTTCCATGTGCACACATACAAAACCCAAATGCATTCAATAACGACCTGGGATGAGAGGCCTGTGGAGAACAGCTGCACCTGTGGTAGAGAACTAATGTCCCCAGGCAGCCAAAGGGACACTAAGTAACTCCAGGGACACTAGAAAGGACTCAGAGCCAATCTTGTACCCAACAAATTTGCCATTAGCAGCTCCAGAGAAGACAAGAACTGCACGTACGTGACCCATCTACTTCACCGTGTGCTGGGGTGCAGGATCCCCAGAGGGCGCTGCAAAGTGGGGCTCTGCTGAGCTCATCAGCGCGGCTCGTGTTTCAT